GCTACATACTGGCTCTGTAGGGTCTTACTTGTGGCTCGTGGGATCTTTAGTTGTGGTATGTAGGATCTTAGTTCCCTAACCAGGGATCGAACCCAGGCCTCCTGGACTGGAAGCAAGGAGTCTTAGACACTGGAACTCCAGGGAAGTCCTCATACCAAGTTATTTTAGAACTAAGTCCAAAGAAGTAAACAGCTCTGTTTTCCTGCTTTCATATAATGATGTAACTTTCCATATATGTTGTGTGTGCTAAACTGTTAGCTTGTGTCTATATAACCATACCTCACCTATGTTGGCGGCAGTGAAGGAGTGAAATATTTCTGAAATCTCTTAATGAAGAGCTGACATTAATATTTTTAATTAATTAATTAATTTGGCAAGGGGCTAGAGCACACCCTACTGGCCAGCTCATGGGAAATACAGCATTTACTTGGAAGAAAATGTCATGTTAAAATTTGAAGATAAAAATCAGATTAGTGTTTCAAAGAAATTTGAAAAAAATTGTCTTATAAAAATCTATACATTAATGTATCTATGGGACAATAAAAAAGGTTTTAAGTTCTAGAAATGGGATAAAACTAGAACTATAATAACTGCCAATAGCATCAAATGTTTGTTAAGGGAGCATTAAATGAAAAAGTGGCCCAGTTAAAAGAAAAGTATACAAACAGCCCTCCAAAACTCATACAAAGCAAAGACAGCTAAGCCCTGGCCCTAACACTTAAACCAGTAGACAGATAAATTAAAACCAGCCTGTTTGGTCTTTTCCCAGGCTGAATATACTGCATAAATATATATATATATATATATATATATATATATATATAGAGAGAGAGAGAGAGAGAGAGAGAGAGAGAAAGAGAGGGAAAGCTAAGAAGGTGAAGTAATATCCTTCATTAATATCCCTGGGGAAAATGGAAGTTGTAAACAAAATCTTTTTCTGTGAAACTTCAAATGACTGCTAAATTTGAAAGCTCCATGCAGACTTTGATTCAATGAGGCAACCCTCATGGGTGAATCTCAGCCCTTATCAGTGTGAGTGTCTAAAATAATCCACAAAGTTTATTGGAAATACTGTATAAATATATATATATATATATATATACATGTATATTTCCAATACATATATATGTGCATGTATCTGTGTGTGTGTGTGCCCAGATGTTTCCAAAACATAAAGTGACAACTAAACAAATGATCTATATGAAATGCAATTCTTTTAGTGTTATGTATTTTTTAGTTGCACACATCTATAAATTAGTTTTTTGAAAGTGCATATCTACATATAGCATGAATAGAAAAGGCTCTAGGACTAAGCAGGTGATGCAGAAAGTGTCTCACTTTAAAATATGTCTCTATAAACAAGTCAAAATACAAAAACATCTGTAATCAAGATGAATAAATGCCAAATTGTGATCCTCTTCTACAGGATTCATGTAATATCAAAACAGAAATTCAGAAGGGTTGCAAGGCCCCTCTCTGGCACAATGTGAGCTTACACATGACTTGCGAGGATGCTGGGAGAGGACAGACAGGAACATTGTCCTCAGGAAAGCAGAGATTGTGATCCCAAGATTTCTGAGCCAGAACCTCCCCCTGTTCTTACTCCAAGGACAGCCTCTTCTTACTCTGAAAGAAGCACAAATGCAAAGTGACAATCTGGGTCAATGTGATATAAGTCTAATGTTCTAGATGCTCTGTTTAGAATCTTTTATATTAAGTAACATCAGATAATATAAATTCCTTGGGAGATGACCTCAAAATTAGATGGATTTGGAGAGATGTAAAAAAAATCCTGACTTTAAATTTCTTCCTTATTGGAGATAATTTAAAACATGCTAGATTCAGTACAAAGAAGGTACTTTTTCCCCTAAACCTCTAGACTAGTGTTCTAATCTGTGAAAAGTCACCAAATGATCACTTGATAAACACAAAAGGCTCATTTCAACTTGCTTAGCATTTTCTTTTAAACTCTTCCCCAAATATTCCACAGTATTATTGACATGCTAGTGCTATTACGAAATATCATTAATAGAGTCTTAGATAAAAGATTTGTGGGGTTAAGCCTTCTCATGTAATCCATCCACAGCTGAGAAAGCCATATTATGTGAATATCATTATAAGCAAAATTCAGTAAGCCATCAGCTATAACTCGTTTTTCCTCCAAAATGAATAAATCAAAATGTTTATTTTGGGGAGGGGGATAAATTAGGAGTTTGGAACTAAAATATACTCATTATATCTAAAATAGATAATCAACAAGAGCCTACTATATAGCACAGGAAACTATATTCAGTATCTTATAATAACATATGTTAAAAAAATAATACATATACATATATATATATAACCGAATCACTTCGTTGTATTTCTGAAACTAACACTACATTGTAGGTCGACTCTATTTCAATAAAGAAAAAATTTTAAGATGTTTATTTTGCAAGTTTTAAAAAGATTAGAAGAAAAAAATTGGATTCATGAGGAATGACTCCTGTGATTTTGTGGGTTTTATTTTTTTTTATAATTTACCAAAACATTAGCTCCTCATTCGGCTCCCAGCTCCCAACCCTATAGTGAGTATCCTGTTGATCTTCTTTCTCCAAAGAAGGGGTGTGTTTGATGGTTGCTCTAGTGATTATCACTGTTTAATGAATGGGAGAATGTAAAAGCTCGCCAATAAGGCCAAAGCACAAATTACAGCTGTATTGTGGCGAGTTGAAATAGTGCAACTAGGGTTCCTTTTGGGTGAAACTTGAGCTCAGCTAAGTCCCCATTCATTAAATGCTGGACTGTGAGGTCTGAAAAGACGTTCTCTGGCAAGTTCTCATGTTGATCCCTTTTTTACACTGATAATTGTTGTATGGGTAAGCTGTAAACTTTAGTGAAACCAAAAGGGGGGGGGGGTGTGGAAATCTGTGTAACTGAATCAAAAAACCTAGTTGATTCGGTAAAAAAGTTAGCGATTAGTTATGCCTAATTGCCATCATTTCCTAAAATAATACCAAATGGCAATAAGAAAACTTAACAGGTGGAACAGCTGAACTGTTGATAAGCAGCCTAGACATGAAAATGACCCAAGAAAATGACCCAAAGGAGCCCATCAAAATGGGGGGATAGAGTTCTCTTGGCTAAATATCTTGCACATAAAAGAGCTCTGTTTTCTTGTTTTATCTTTTTTTTTTTTTTTTTTGGTGTTTAAGGCCTTGAATTCAAAATTAGGCCTCTGAATTAAATTTAAAAGAAAGTAAATAACAGTGCGGAGAAAGCAAATCATTTCATGCAGTGTAAAGTTAATAGTTAACCTGATAATGAGGTCGCAATCTCATTCCATATGTTAAACTACCCCAATTAGGCAGCGCTAAATGTCTAACTACCCGGCATTACTTGCTGAAATGCAAAACGGTCTCTGCAGAAGAGACCAAAAAGGTCAGCAGGAGGTCTCTGGCCTCTACTCAACAGAGTACCATTCAGGGGATTTGTTCTAGTTAAAACTGGAGGGTTTCTGTCTGTTTGCTTTTTTTCTTACTTTAGTTACTCTTGGTTTGTTATCATTTGTATTATTTATTTTACGGTTAAACTATAAGCCTAAGTTGCATCACTGGCGCCCTGAGAAACCTCCTCCCGCCGGCTCGCTGGTGTTTTGTCCTTGGACATCAGTGGCTGCCCTGATGCCAAGAGATGTTGAGGTCTGTGTGGGTCTATTATGTAAACAAGAGATTGGAACTCCAGTGGACACCGGGTTGAGGGTGGGGGACACCTTCTGGAAGCCCATGGGCGGCCCTATCCGGGTCAATAGCCAACCGGGCCTGGCCTCCATGTGCAGACGTGTGGTCAGAGGAGAGATGGCCAGACACCCTCACGAACGTGGCCTCGCTGACTCTCGCTGTCTCACACTGTGCCACTCTGCCCACTCTATCCTCCGATGCCCCGCTCTGTCCTTCCTTATCTTGCGCAGACCCTTGATGCCCCGCGCTGTCCCTCCAACGCCTCGGCCCGCGGGCCTCGTGGTGAGCGCGGGTCCTGCAGGCGGGAGATGCGCTCCCCCCACTCCCGCCTCCCCAGGCCGGCCCGCAGAAGCTCCGCTCGCCTCCCCGCGGTGCCCTCGGCCCACCCACGCAGCCCGCGGACTGAGGAAGAGAAAACCCTCCGCGGGGCTGCAAACGTAGGAAACCCCGTGCGAGGCATGGCGCCGCCTTTGGTTCGCGCAGGAACCGCGGCCGAGGCCGGGCGGCCTGCAGTCTTCAGAGGAAGATTCAGAGGAAGGAGTGCCCGGAGCTGGGCAGCGGCCTCCAGGATTCGGCAGATCAGGGACGTCCGGGCCGCAGCAGGCCAAAAACACGTCCCTCGGGAGACAAAGACTGCTTCCCTGGCGAGGGGCCACCCGACGCCAGTGGACCCCACGCGAGCACCTAGACCGCGACATCGCCCCTTTAAGCGGATCGAGGCCGGGATTGGCTGCGCGGCGGAGGTGGGGCGGTGAGCGGCAACGTCACGGCCCCGCCCCCCCCCGCGCTATATATTGAGGCGGCGGCGGTAGCGACGACGGCGGCCGAGTGCGAGCTTGGAGTGAGAGCGGGAGCGAGCGGCTGGCGTGGGGCGAGGCGCCTGCGCGGTGTCGGGCCCCTGAGCCCGAGGCGCTGAGACAGCCGGGACGGACATGCGCGGGAGGGCGCCGTGGGGCAGCCGCGGCTCTGTTGGGGTAAGGGGCCTATGGGCCCGGGGCGGGAAGGGCGGCGCCGCGCCCCTCGGGATTCCGGGCGGCTCTCGACGCGGGGCGGGTCCCCAGGGCAAGGAGAGGGTCTCCAGACGCGGAGTCTCCCGGGACGGAGGGAGGGGCCGGCCCGGCGCTCTGGAGACGCGCGGCTCCGGGAGCGGCGAGCCGGGTCCTGCGGCTGCGGGTTGGCGGCGGCCTCGGGCTCTTTTCTCCTCTTTCCCGGGGCTGCGCGAGTCTGGTCCGCACCGCGCGCCCGCAGACTGGGTCCGAGAGCTGCTGGGGGCCGGGGTCGGCGCGGGTTCTGACCCGCGGTCCCACTGCTTGGTCTCGGCGACGACAGTCATCCCCAGTCGGTGTTCTTAATTCATCCGAGCAGCCCGGTGCCCTCCTCCTCGTCCTCCCAGGAACGCGATTCTTTGCTAGAACGTCCTAAATGCTGTCTCAAAAGGGAAAGAACTGCAGAATTGTGTTCGAAACGTGAACGCTTATTAGATATTTCGCCTGTGTGCGTGTGTGTATTTATATGTATATCGTAGTCTTGTACAAATTAGATGACTCTTTCACCAGGATTAGTACTGTATTGGTGCTTGCAAAGTCTTTATTAGGATTTCGTCATTGCTTGAAAGAAACCAGTCTCTTACCTGATAAAAAATATGAATAGATTGTTAGTCATAAACTTAAGTGCAGTCAGAATAGAGACTGTAGCTTTAAAAGAGATGTGTTGGTGACTTTAGGTACACCTGCAACACAGGTAGGGCAAGACTGGTTTCTAGGCAACTGTCAGGGGTGAAGAAAGGTGAGGTTAAAATGCTTTTTTCCCCCCTTCTTTTCTGGAGAACAAGTGTTCTGCAAAATTTCAAGCTTTTATCAATCTGTTAAGAATGCAGTGAAAAAGCATTTGTTGAGACTGAGGCATCTGATTAAGTTCACCATACCTTGTCTTGCTTTCTTTTTTTAAACTGCATTTCTGTTTTTTTTTGTTTGTTTTTCCTTTTTCTTTTCTTTTTTAAACCTCACTGGAATTATGTAGCTGTAAGTGAAGATTTCCTTAAAGGCATTTGATACCCATTTCAGGAAATGACCAACTTTTGTTAAGACCAAAATGAAAGAAATCAGGTCCTTGTTAACAGGCTGACGGTGATTGGTTATCAGTATGTTATCAATCAGTCAGGCTCATTTGCAGGTATTAGCCAATTTGAAGAGAACTGCAAATTGGTTATAGCGTGGAATTCATTGCCTTCATTTCAAACACAGAGGTTTCCTTTTCAGCTGTGTGTTCTTGTGGACACTCACTGGGAGTAACAATTTATAACCCAACAGATACTAGATTGTAGACTCCTGAAGGGCAGGAACCCTGCCTTGCACAGCTTCTGTCTTAGGCAGCTTTGCACATTAGTTGATGATTGATAAATAGTTGCAGGAAATCGTATTTTACATTTTAAAATTCAGCAGAATTGCACCAGTCACTGATAAAGCTCAGAAAGCAAATCTGCTTTTTTCAAATGGCTGTTATGAAATGTCTGAATTATTCGTATTTTTGACAGATAGGGAGACCCGGCATTGTCATGCACTGGGTTTCCTACTTTAAGTTCACAGTGGACGCTAGTCGCTCAGTTCTGTGAGATTTAATTACAGTGTACACCTGAGTTTTTGTGTGGAAAGAGCTCTTAACTGCCGCTCCTCGGAAGCCAAACCAGGTAGTTCTTCCCTTCTGCTGGTAGTAATGGTGGCTTTTCAAAGCAAGCCACCCAAATTACAGGTGCAATCTGACATGCTGGAAGCTGACCTGAATGTCTGCATACCGTCAGGTTTCTTTAGAAAGATGAATAGAGGAGGGGAAAGGTGGTGCCAAGGGTAATTCCAGGAATTTGACTGTCACAGGCTCCCTCTAGCAGAGGCACAACTCTTGATCTAAATACAGTTGAATCGGTGCAGCAGCATCAGGATTCCTGGAGTATCCTTCGGTGCTGCTGTTTGGTCACGCATTTTAAAAGCTGATGGATAACCCACTAGAGAAACAAAATCTCGTTGTGGCATTCTGGCATTTTCCGCACAGCATAAACACATGCTTTGTAAAGATAGATAAAATTGGTGAGTTTTGAGGGTTCTGAACCTAAGTGACTAGCTTCATACAGCAATTATTTTAAGGTAAGGGAGAATTAGCATGGGATTCAGATTTCAGAAGAGGGGAAAAAAGAGTTCTGCCATTTGGAGTCACTGCTGATACTTGAATCCAGTTCCTTGTACCATCAAGTTGGGCAATATTACCAAAAGGCCATCGAATATATTTTTTAAATATGGGACTCTGGCTACATGAGTTAGCCCTTTTCAACTCCAGAGTGCCATGATTCCACAAAACATTACAGTCTAACAGAGGACACAGTAGGAAGGTAAGGATGAAAAGATACTGTTCCAAGAGCTCTTGTTACATAAAGGCCCCCCCAGAATATGAAGCTCGACGAATCACAGGTTGTCTTTTGAAGATACTGTTCCCCCTGCATGAAATGCTATCCTCCTGAGTCTTCTCACGGCTGCATTTTTTTTATCCTTTAGATTCGCATTTGAAAAATCACGCAAGAGAAGCCTGCCTTCACTGCCTGCATGAGTAGGTCCTCATCCCTCCTTGTCCTCTTACTGTTCCCCATTTGGTCCTGTGGCAGTGACCACAATCTGAAACTGCGTGCCTGCCTGTTAGCTCTTTCCTCGCTAGACTGGGCCTGCCTTAGGCAGCACCATGTCCTTTTCAATGAGCGTCGTATCTAGTCAAAAAGAGTAAGCATCTGGTAGCTATTTGTGAAAATATCAGTGAAACCCTGCCCTCTTAAGAGCCCATGAGCTAAACACAGGAGCTGTGTTCAGTCTTACTCTGCCCAGTGGACCAGCGCTCAGGTCCTGTTCTGTGTATCAGTCTCCCCACCTGTAACCAAGAGGAGGAGAGATGTGGCTGTCGCCTACAAAGCAAACACTCTAGAAAGGAGAGGTGAGGAAAGTGTAGCAAGGAAGATGCTGGACCGTGCTGACCTTTAGCAGATAGGTGGATGCTTCACCTCACTTCACTCCCTCCTCTGCAAAATGGAGGTCATGATCCCTGCCGCTTCTTACAGGGATGTTTTGGGGATCAAGTGGGATGACACGTTAGAAAGTGTTTTGTCATTTGTGGAACACTTTCCAAATACAAGACATTCTATCATTATATTCTGGATCTTACAGTAGAGCCTGATTATAAGACTCTATTGTAATAATGCCCCACAGAGATCCAGGCTGGGAGTAGATTCAAAGGAGGCTCTCTGGGTGTATGTTGTGACCCCTTTTTATGGGTGAAGACAGACCTGCATTATTATCAAACAGATTATATGACGGCAGAGCGTCCCTGTGTCACTAAAGGTCGAGGGTCTCAAAGAACTGTTTGAGGTGGTCACAGAATAGATCCAATGCCTTAATCCCCCCTCTCCTTTTAGAGGATAGATAGGACAGAACTGCAAGTAAGAACTCTTACTGGAGATTTGAGAGACTGGAGGTTAAATAGGAACTTTGATACACTAAAGGTTACCCAAGAAAAACTGTTACCAGTCAACAGAGCCCCAGGACAGTCTGTCTGAGCTCCCCGAAGACTTGGGCTCCATAGTGGCTCAGATCATCTGTCAGCGAGGTGTGTGGGAGAACCTGGCTCAAACCTGGAACCTGGGTCCCTCAGCTCTGTGCCTCCAGTTCCTTGTCTGTAAATGAGGGTAATCACAGGCACCCAGCTCCCAGGGCTGTGGATTAAATTAGGTAATACACATAAAGCACTTAGAACAATGCCCGTCAGATAAGCATCCAGGGAACTAGTGATTATGCTTGCTGGGTTTCTGTTCACTGTAACAATCCCAGGTTACCCACTGGGTGACTTAAACGCTCGTTAAGTAAATTTGAAGTTTGAAAGACACGCTTCCCATCATTAGACTATTGTGCTCATCATCATTAAGATTTGAATAGAAATCCTGTATCTCCTACAATTGGAAACCTACCATGCACGTGTCTGAAAGGAATAATATTTTTCCCTCCCCTGTGTCTGTGTGTTCTGCTGATGCTAGCGGTGCTCTGTAGGGAAGGGACAAAGGACAAAAGCATCTGTTTCTGCCACGGGGTGTTTCTGCTGTGTCACCGGGGCTGTGTGGGAGACGGCGGGAGTCCAGAGGCTGGCAGTGACCATGGAGTTGAATAAATAGGTTTTCCTTTGGCTTGCCATTTCTTAAAATACTTAGCTAGAAAATATTCTGAATTGCTCCTGAACTTAGGTCATCCAGCTTTGACTGTGACAGTATGAAGGTGAAATATTCTCTTGGTCGCCTTGGTTTTTACCACCTACCAATGGGCTGTTACATACCAGGCCTGGAGCTGCAGAAGGACAAAATATGTCCATTCCCACTGCACTGGGCCAGTTATGCTTTCACAGAAACCACTGAGTTTCGTTCCATGTTATTAACTTCATTCAACACCCTTGTAAGTCATCTGGGCATTCAGAGTGAAGCTGTTGATGCTTCCACAGAGCGGCCTGTACCGTGCAACCCCCTCTTTTCCTCCTCCCTCTGCCCCCCGCCAGATCACACCTGTTAAAATCTGAGAAACACCCTGAATTAGAGCCAGTGATTTTTGAAGAGCCTTCTGCTTTCAATAAATCAACTCAGACCACACAACACCATAGCAGATGTGAACACGGAATGTGTTAGGTGAGAGCAAATCAGTAAGTTTTCTCATATTCCTAATAAAAGTGAAAACCCTCTAGAACAGCCAGACTGAATGTTCAGTGCAGATCACTTGCTCGGCCATTAGTGCTGTAGACACTGATCACAGGAAAGATAATGAGGTTTGGTTTTGTTTTCTTTTTAACTTTCCCAAAGGTGACTATTTTAGACATTTTCAGAATGAAAGAGTAATTGGTTTCTTTGGTTGGGGGCGGGAGTGGAATCTAAAATCCTGGTATTTGTCACACTCTGAAGTCTTCCTTTTTTCTCAAATTTTGGCTCTAAATATAGTTACCTGATACCTCCCTGGATATGGAAATTGTTAGGGAGCTAATTGTTAAATGCAGCTGAGAAGACCATTTATCACCCTGAATAAACAGAAATCAGGTTCTTAAACCAGATTGAAAGAAGGAAATTACATCACACTTTTAAATAAGGAAGCACTGAGCAGAACTGGATGAGTCGTGTGACAAAAATGTGCCCCTCCCCCTCTCGTGGATTGCTTCTGAGATTTATTAATGAGATCTGTGGCCAGGTAAGCATATCTAGGTTACTGTCTTAAGGTAGCCTGGTTTTTTAAAGAACAGTATCAAAGAGGTTATCCTCAAACAAAAAGCATGTGATTTCACCTGTTTAATAAAGAATGTGGAATGTGCTTTTGGGTGTACCTCCCTTTTTTTTTTTTTTTTTTTTAGGAAAATGAACTTAAATTTAGCAGCAAAAACACAGTAGGTGCCTTATAATCCAGAAGAGAAGGTGACATTGTTTCTGTTGTTAGGAAGCCCCCACCTGATTGCTTTAACCAAGCATGTAGTAACGGCCACCAGTTTGGAAAGTTACAGTGTTAACCATTTAAGCTTCTAATCTTTTTACTACCCAGTGTCAAAACCATCCACTTTGGGTTTTGGAAATGAATTTAGTGAGCATTCCTTGCTGGCTCCATGTCCCTAGACTTGTATTATAATTAAGCAGTGTCACCAAATGTTAAGTTTATCCCTTACAAATCTATGCTTTCCCCCTTCTTCACTGATTTATATTATAAATTACATGAGTCTTTCATGTAATTACTTTTTTTTAAAAAATGAGATGAATGTTTTCTCAGAGTCCAGTTAATAAGCACATGTTAGAGATGAATGAGGCCAGGATCTGTTGGAGGAGGGGAGGCAGAGAGTCCTGTTGTAGAAAATCAGGATGATAGAAGGGGACTAGGGCACAGCACAGAATAATCAGGCCCTGGAGACACTTCTCTGGCTTTTCCAGAGGAAGCAGGTTCACAGAGAAGGTAGCATGAGAAGCTGCCCTGAAGGATATATTGATTTCTAACAGCAGTTTGGGGAAAGGAGAAGCAAGAGCTTGAAAAGGGTGGACTGGGGCCTTGTTCTGGAGGCCTTCAATGGTAGGCTGAGCGGCATGTATGGAGAAGCCTTTGAAGGTCTTTGAGCAGCAGAAGATCTAAGCTTGAGCTTAAGCTAGGTCAGGGACAGAGATCCAGCGTGTAGGATGGATTGGGGATCTTCATAGCCGAGGCAGCTTAGGACGGAAGGAAGATAGATTTGAGAAAAACAGCATAGAAATAAACTCTGGCCCTTGGTGATTCACCGCACTTCTGCTGTGGCTCAGGATAAAAATGGTGCCTTTGGGAGACGTGTGATCTGCTTAGACTGTGAACTAGTTTGGGAAGGGAGTGTGGCAAGAGGGGTTTGGTTTGTGGAGTTCCAGATGCCAGGGGACCATCCAAGTGGAAAGGTAATCACCAGACAATAAGACATGCAAAGTGGAGGCTTGAGCCAGGGCTGGACCTGAGATTCAGGAGCTGTGGTGTGGGGTTGAAGCCCTCTCCAGGGATCAGAACTCAAGGTGGGGCCCAGGTTGTTAGGGGAGAAAGTAAAGAGGCAACCTCAGGAAACAGATGTTCTTAGGGTTGTCCTTTGTTTTTCCTTGAATTAAAAAAAAAAATGATGTTACTAGGAAAAAGGAGTTCACACCTGCCATTTGTGTTGAACAGCATTTTCGACCCTAAAAGGCTAAAGATTAGTCCACGTATTTCAGAAGAGCTACCATACCCAAGACTATGGAGACCCCGGGCAGTGTGCTAGGCTGCCCAGATTGCCATCAGATTTCGTGTTTCTGAGTTTCATCGCCTAGTGCCATCTTGGACTTGTAGATCCTGGTTTTCCCCGGGCCAGGGGAGGGGGGTATCTTTTTGCCGTTGTTTTCCTAATTAATCGTAAGGCAGAGCTCATTTTACACATGTACGGGGATGAAATTCACAACGCAGCAGCACCAGCTTATTTCCTTGAGCTCCGCACACATTTCTTTTAACTCAGGGTTGACCAGTGGATGGATCCCCCACCCCCACTCCAAGGAGTACACATATTGAATGCTCCTAGAGTTTTTTGAGAGGCATAAAAGAATTCCAGGTGGTTCCGTCCCACACCCACAGTTCATTGCCTGAGGATCACCCTGTAGAGGTTGGCTTCTGGACCCCGAGCAGGCTGCCCTCCTGGGAGTCCGCCCTGGGGAGTTATTCTCCAGAAGGAGAGAGAGAGAGCAGTGACACTGCCTCGGAGCTCCCTGCGCGAGCCAGTGGGAGGTTTGGACAGTTTCATAACACAGCCCATTCACAATTCCCCATTGAAATGTAGAGGCAGGTCACCTTCGATGAATGCACAAAGACACTATTGTGGTCACAAGCGAGCTGCCTCAGTGAACACAATTCTTTTTATACTTAAAAAAAAAAAAAAATTTTTTTTTCCCCTTAAGAAAGCTAACAAGTAGGTGATAGAAACAATGACCGAAAAATAACTTTTTCTAGAACATATACAGAATGTTAAGGGACCATTGACACCGAGGGCCAGGATTCCGAGGCCATTTCAGCAGAGGCGATGGTTACACAATCACTCTGTTGAAAGCGAAGATTTAGATGGCATTAGGAGTCTGACACACAGTAATTACTGGTAGTTCTTGTTGGCCTGCAGACAGGTGGGGGCTGGGCCTGCACAGTCCCCCGAAGCACTTTCCTGTAATCTGGATGGGCGATCTTCAAACGTGTGCTTTCAAACCACTTAAATACCATATTCTTCTTCCTCTCTGGCCTTTCATTTTTCTATCACCGCAGATACGCTCCCTGTCGTCCTGCCAGCGCTTGTAGATCTCTTAGGAAGAGCACTCTAAACCACCGGGCAGGGACGGAGAAGTGTCTAGCAAATCTTTTTCTAAGGCTTGTCTTTAAAATTTTTTTCTTAGAGCCTAAATTGAATTCAAAGGAAGTAAAAACACATTTCGCTGTGTTCCTGACCTAAAAACCAACCCTGAAGAACAACAGAAAAGACCTCCCCTAAATAACTTAGATTTCTGAAATGATGGGTTCCCCCCCCTTTTCTTTATGTTTAGAGACTGATGAAAGATAAAGTTTGACTATTAGAAATAATGTTATATACTCTGCCTAGTATATTCAAACAGCTGACTTTGGGAGAGTAAAAAAGCTGAGAAGTGGTAACTGGGGCCCCTGGTGCTTTGTCACTGAAACAGTACTGTCTCTACATTCCTTTTTATGAAAAAAAAAATAGTAATATTTGCAGAGTGTTTTTTTAGACCCTTAACTTAAAAACAATTCTGTGCCTTACATACTGTATACATTCAGTTGATATTGACAATACTAATAGTTTGATGGCGTTGTACAAACATAGAGTCAACAAACATCTACTTATGCAGCACCTGCTCCTATTCAGATGGTGATAATTAATGACTGGGACACAGCTTCTTTCCTGAGCTCACAGTCTCATAGGGGGTGACAGATTGGTCCCTAAAACAGAACCCTGACCCGTGTGCTGCCTCCCTCTGCTCCACACACCCATCTCTCTCACACTTGTGTTGCCCACAGTCCTCAGCGCAATATCCAGCTCTCTTAAGTTTGTGCAAACACAGTTGCCAAGAGGACGAGAAGGGATCATAAAGTGTATGTACACATCACAGAAGGGGTCATTGTAACTCAGAGGGTCAACAGGGGATGTTCTCAACTTGTTCTAAGCAGATGCGAGTATCTGAAAAGGGGGCAGAGATGGGTGCTGATCATGAGTACACCTCGCCAATGAATACAGGAAACTAAAGAGAGGGAGGGGGGTCTGAGGGGAGGGGGGGGGCTCCAGAAACGTGGTATCCCACTGGGGTTGGAGGAGTCTCAAGAGAGGGGAATTAGGAGAAATTGCACTGACGGCCTCTGTCACCCATGCCTCGCAGCAAGGCAGCACATAAATTACTAGGCACTTCAGGGAGAATGCAGAGAATGCAGACATCAGTTTGCCTTTAAAAAGGAGGAGGATGCTGTCCAGGCCTCTGCCCGAAGCCAGTCATCCTGCAGAACTTGATTTTTTTACAGGAGAACGGGAGTGAGTGTCCTCTGTGCGTGAGGACTTAACTCGATTCCTGCACAAGTAGTGACTGGAGAATTTGTCTTCCCAGGGCCCATCCCCACCCTCCACCACCACCCCCCAACCCTGAAATACAGAATCTAAATAAGTGCTGGGCTTGTGGGGTCATCAGGTGACAGCTGTAGACCCTCTGCTTCATCAAAGCGTCGGGTCTTAGTGATCAGTGGTGCTGCCATATCAAACACAGTAATTCCTGAAATGACTTTCTTAGCTTGGGACAGGGTGGGGTGGGGTAGGGTGGGGTGCAGGGAGTAGGGAATGAGCTCCACGCTCAGCACAACCACACACCTCTCTGTGTGCACCTGTCTGCCCCCAACGCCCAACCCCCCAAGGTCTGCCCTGGCCGGAGACGGACTGTTTCTCATTGGCTGAAAACATCTTCGTATTTACCGCATGCATGCTAAGTCGCTTCAGTCATATCCGACTCTGAAACCCTGTGGACTGTAGCCCCCCAGGCTCCTCAGTCCATGGGATTCTCCAGGCAAGAACACTGGAGTGGGTTGCCATTGCCTCCTCCAGGGCATCTTCCCAACCCAGGGGTTGAATCCACATCTCTTAATGTCTCCTGCATTGGCAAGGAGGTTCTTTACCACTAGTGCCACCTGGGAAGACTGTATTTACCACCACTACCACCCTCAAAAAAAGACTTCTAATGTCTGCATTTAAGTAACCTCGTGAAAAGTAAGAACTTAGTAGTGTATGACATGCTGCGGTCCATGGGGTCGCTGAGTCGGACATAACTTGGTAACTGAACGCAGCAGCAGCAAATGTAAACGTGACTGGGTGGAAGTTTGTAACTGGGTGTTTCTGTTCTGCAGGCCTTGAAATTCTCTCCCCTCGAGTTCCTTATGCTTTGGGATTGTTTACGCTGCTCTTAACCTCCTCTGTGCCCACCCCCCACCCCCCACCAGGGAATGAAAGCCACTGGTTGACTGTACACATCCCTGGGCATTGCAAGTCTGAAGACGTCCCAGAATAAGGCACAATGTCCATGGCAGGAGTGGCTGCTCAGGAGATCAGAGTCCCGTTAAAAACTGGATTTCTGCACGATGGCCAAGCCTTGGGGAGCCTGAAGGCCTGCTGGGGTGGCCGCAGCGAGTTTGAGAAGTAAGTGCAGGACGTGGGGCTGCCAGAGCCCCTGAGCGGGTGACGTGGGAGCAAGAGAGGGGATGTGGTTGCTACCTGTTTGTGACCCAGATGTCTGACCTTCCCTTTCAGCAGCTTTTTAAACATCGACCCGATAACCATGGCCTACAGTCTGAACTCGCGGGCGCAGGAGCAGCTAACCTCCATCGGTACGTGTCCAGAGCGTCCTGAGAACCCGGGTGCCCTTGGCATGGGGAGAGGAGGCTGGCAGCCCCGAGGGAGCCTGTCCCCCAGTGCTGCTTTCTAAATGAGGAAGCGGCCGAGGTCATTTCCGACAGGAGGCTGACCCCTAGTGGCAGCAGATCCTGAAGTCAGCGTGTTCTTGTCAGACTCGCGGTGGCTCAGCTGGAGTCCCGGGGTCTCTGTGTGGAGGCGTGACGCCACCCCAGCCAGGAAGCACACTGAACTCTCTGGGACCTCGAGCTCTCTTCTTTCTTACCAGCTTCGAACACCTGTTTGAAAGTAACAGAATAGTACAGATACTGACAGAAACTTAGACGAATTTGTGTATCATCAGCCCTTCTAGTGTGAACATCATGTCCCTTAGATTTTTGCCAAGGGCTGCCTGTCACATCACGGGTGAGTCCACCAGCTCTGGGTACCGCGATGGGCTGGGTAAGACCTCGTTATCTCAGGCCTGCCCCGCGTGTCCTGGGTGGCCCATCTTGCAAATGGCCAGGTTGGTGTGGCCTGGCTCCCCAAATTACATGCTGCTCACCTTCCGTGGACTTCGTGCACGTCACAGAACCTGTCTGGGGCGTGTGGGCGTGCGCCGCGCACACGGCCAAGACGATGGAAGAGATAATTTGTTCTTTGAACCAGATCAGGTGCGCTCCCCGCCTCCAGGCCCTTGATTACACCCGCGGCAGTTGCCTGGGTGTGCTCAGCGTTCCAGCAGCTGGTGTTTCACCACGAGTGACCCAGCCGAAGGCGACAGGAATGCGGGCTGCTGGGGTGGGGTCCGGTCCCCGCCGTGGGGAGAGCACAGTCCATCCTACATAATCTCTCATTTCCTTCCAGGGCGCGCCTCCAGATCCACCCCGATGAGCAGCAGCCACTGTGCAGAGCATGGCCCCCCTCCGAAGTCCCGCCTGCCTCCCCTCATCATCCCCCCAAGTGAAGGCTGGGGGCAGCAGGAGGAGGACCGGGTGGCGTGTGGACTGAAGAAGCTGGCGGTGAACGGGGTCTGTGCTGCCACACCCCCGTTGACCCCCGTCAAGAGTCCCCTGTCCCTCTTCTCCAGCCCAGTGCCCTGCGAGCGGGGCTCCCGGCCCCTGCCGCCACTGCCCATCTCCGAGGACCTCGCCCTGGACGAGACGGACTGCGAGGTCGAGTTTCTCACCAGCTCGGACACGGACTTCCTTCTGGAAGACTGCGGGCTCTCCGACTTCAGAGCCGATGGCCCCGGCAGACGCAGCTTCCGAGGATGTGGACAGATCAACTATGCATATTTTGACACCCCAACTGTCTCCGCCGTGGATCTCAGCCAGGAACCCGACCAGGTGGCTGGGGTGCCAAGTGCCAACCCCCCTCCGCCTCAGGCCCACCGGAGACTGAGGAGGTCTCACTCAGGCCCCGCGGGGTCCTTCAACAAGCCGGCCATCAGGATCTCCAGCTCCATGCACAGGGCTTCTCCCAATTCTGACGACGACAAGCCAGAAGTTCCCCCTCGGGTCCCCATCCCTCCCCGGCCGGCCAAGCCAGACTACAGAAGGTGGTCGGCCGAGGTCACCTCCAGCACCTACAGCGATGAGGACAGGCCCCCCAAAGTCCCACCGAGAGAGCCCTTGTCCCGGAGCAACTCCCGCACCCCAAGCCCCAAAAGCCTCCCATCTTACCTCAACGGGGTCATGCCCCCCACGCAGAGCTTTGCCCCTGACCCCAAGTACGTGAGCAGCAAAGCCCTGCAGAGACAGCACAGTGAGGGGGCTGCCGGCAAGGCGCCCTGCATCCTGCCCATCATTGAGAATGGGAAGAAGGCGAGCTCCACGCACTACTACCTGCTCCCTGAGAGGCCGCCCTACCTGGACAGATTCGAAAAATTTTTTAGGGAAGCAGAAGAAACACACGGGAACACCCCCGTCCACCCCATCCTGGCCCATGGCAGTATCTCTTCAGCCCCAGAAAAGCTGGACCTAAAAGGCCATGTGAAGCGCAAACATTTCTCCTATGTGGTTTCTCCTTAGACCCTGGAGTCCCAGCTCAGCAGAGGTGCCATGGGAGCGAGTGGTTCTCTCACAGTTCCCCAGACCCGTCAAGGTTCCCCGGGAAAATAGTCCAGATCACAGGCTCAGAGTCGAACTCTCCTCTGAACAGGAAGGGCTTAGAGAGTCAGGAGGTGCTGAGGTGCTGAGCATCCCTGACCGTGTGAGTGTCAGAGAAAAGTCTGCTCAAGCCTGTCATTTAAAGATGCGATGCAGGGAGGAAGGACAAGGGACATGCATATGTGTGCACGTTAGATGCCTGCATCTACACTTGTGATAAAATCATAGATTCTAGTTGCAAGTTAACCCAGTAGTTCCTGTCTTAGAGTAATATATATTTAGAACAATAAAACTCAAGCTGGAGGATGGCTCCTGAGAGACTGAAAATTGAGCAAATGGGAGAGAATACAGTATTGTTTAGCTCAGAATCATAAAATATTATATATATATATTATTATTTTTTTGCATAATAAGGTTGAAGATTGCCAGCTCTGAGGCCTGTTCTGTTTTGTTTCATTTATTTTTACAAGCAGTTTTTCCATGGAGGGCAGGCCATACTTTCTTTCCGTGACTTCACGTGCCTGGTTTAAGTCGTCCTGAGACCTAAATCCTGTAGGTCTTGCTGAAGGGATGGCAGCACCTTTGGTACCGTATTCTCACCTGTCCGGGTCTCATGAAAAATGGGAAGGTAACAGAATAAGTCATTTTTCCTTACCATTCCTTCTCTGTTCCACCCACCCCCAGGAAACGCAGAACACATGGGGAAAAACAGACTCTTGGCCAGTGTTGAGGATGTCAGTTGAAGCAATAATGAAGCAGTCAGCTGTTGGGTTGAGAGTATCTGTGTGGAGATGTGTGTTGTAGGTTTCTTTTCTTTTTTTTCCCTCCCCTATTTTAGTCGCATATGAATAAACAAATACAACACAAGCTGGCCTTGTGTTGCTGGTTCCTCTTCAGTATTTCCTGGGGATTATTTGCTTTCTAAGTAAAACCCTTCTGACCAATAGCCCAGTATGTCTTAAGACCGGAGATCACATCATCTACTTTGGAAATTCTCACGGCAGGCTGCTCTGCTCAGATCTGGTGAGACATAAAGCTCGTGTCCCACTTTCACATGCTTCGCTGTGTTTATCTTGTGTAGAGCAGCACAGAAGAGATGGTGCTCATTAACAGAAGTACCTTACTACAATGTTCTCCACATTAAACAAGCTGTTTACAGTTTAAACTGCTGAGTGATGTTATTTGAGCTATTTAAAGCTTATATTTTAGTATGAACTAAATGAAGGTTAAAACATGCTTTAGAAAAAGGCACTGATTTCTGCATTTATGTGTACAGTATTGGACAAAGGATTTTATTCATTTTTTGTTGCATTATTTTGAATATTGTCTTTTCATTTTAATAAAGTTATAATACTTATTTATGACACCGTTAATAATGTTTCTTGCCTACACTGTTATACAATTTTGTGTCTCGAGTAATATGACTACCACTTTTAAGCAGAAAGGAAGCTGTTTTAGAGTCTAATATACACTTGAAATTTATCATCATTCCCTAAAATGACAAATAATTTGAGTAATTTAGATTTAAGTAGTATACAGACAACAGCAAAAATGAGCTGTTTGTATTGATCTGTAACAATTAAAAGGGTCCCTTTGAATTGATGCTGGTATGTTGTCATGGAAACAGTTGCCTTGTGGGGAGGGGTATCCGCATCAAGTGGACTGTAACAGGAAGGAAGCGGCTCTGACATGGACGTGACATGTCTCATCTTGGGCTTGAGGACTAGGTCTGGATTGCCCTGGGTCCTTTGGAAGGCCCTGCTTTTTGCTTGACCTGAGGCCCCCAAAGGAAGTAACAGCCTGCCCCGGCCTCTCAGGGTCAGCTTTGGGAAGTAGGAGGAAACGGGGATGCTGTTGGGGAGGGCGCCCTCCAGCTTCCCACGTGACAGCAAAGCTTCCACTGACGTTGGCTGCATCCTTGCCTATACTCGGTTCCTGCCAGGGTCAAGAGTGAGGATTCAACACAGACAATCTGGGCTGAAAGTCGAGCTTGGGCTCTTTCTAATGACCCATTGGGTGGATTCTTCAAAATCTGTACCTTGGTTTTCTCATTGGTAAAGTTAGTAGGGGGGGTGAGGGTTGATACCTACAGGAATTACCTTTGACAATTACCTGTAAACCAGTAATGCACACAGTGAGGGCCTGGTGCATGAGTTGATTTTGTGATTCTCTGTTGCTCCCCCTAAGCCCACAAGTTGGGCATTATTTCTGGCATTTACTAAATGAAGAAATGGATTTGAGTTCATTTATCAGACATTCATTGAGTAACTACATCCTTGGGACACACACCCAGGAATTTGAAGTGGTACATAATGACCATTTGTGATAAACCCTAGGAAGGCGTGAATGGTGGTGGTGACAGGATGACAAATCACCCCCTCCCCTCACTGCATCTCCCAAGGTGATAGGGTCTGAAGGGGTAGAATCTGAGCTGAAGGAGGCAGAGTGAACAGCGGGGGACAGGAGAGGAGACACTGAGGCCAGAGGAGAGCTGGGTGTTTTCCAGAAGCCAGAAGTTATACAGTGAGATGGACAATGGGAAAGGGTGGTGGGTACCACCCAGAGGTCCAAGCGGAGGATGGATGGGGGTGGGATGTGTTTTCAAAAGGCCAGTCGTATGGAGAACAGATTGGAAACAAGGAGACTTCAGGACAGGCTGTCAGAACTGAGATCTGAGCGTCGGACGGTGGGAAAGAAGAAAAATTGGCTTTGAAGATAATACTTCAAGGTAGAAACAGCAGGCTGAGGACCTCAGGTGGGAGGCAGTCCCAGGTATGTGGTCTGGGCTGCCATAAGTATCCCCCAGCTTTCTGCACTGGCCTTTCTTTGTACAGTGGTCAAGTTGTTTAATCTCCAAATCCTGTCTGACTTTCACAATCCCATGGTCTGAAGCCCGCCAGGCTCCTCTGTCCATGGGATTCTCCAAGCTAGAACACTGGAGTGGGTAGCCATTTCTTTCTCCAGGGAATCTTCCTAACCTAGGGATGGAGCACGTGTCTCCTTCGTTGGCAGGCAGATTCTTTACTGCTAAGCCACCTGGGAAGTCCACTGTGGTCAAGACAATCTTTAATTCATTGTGTATTTGCTTTCCTCTTCACCTTTGAGTTTTTCCTTGATTTTGCAAGAATATTATCTTTTTTTTTTTTTTTTTTTTGGTGAGGGGGCAGGCTGCGCTGGGTCTTCATTGTGGTGTGCAGACTTCATTAGTTGCAGCCCACAGGCTCAGTTGCCCTGGGTCATGGGGGATCTTAGTTCCCCGACCAGGGATCGAACCTGTGTCCCTGCATTAAAAGGCGGATTCTTAACTACTGGACTCTCAGGGAAGTCCTGCAAAAATATTATCTTTTCCTATTTCTTCTTGGCCATTGCCACTACCAACCAGAACGCTATCCATTTGCCAACTCAGTGCTCGGCCAGCACACAGAGCAGGGCGAATGCTAAGCCCTTCCTGGCCTAGGACAGCCCTGGGCCTGCTATCTTAGTGTTAATAAGGCCATTATGTCAAGGAAATAGCCACTCTTAGCAACCACTGAACACACTGTTGAGGTCTCTCTTAAAGACAGATCATACCCAGTAACAAAGCTCTGGCTTTAAGTCAGGAAATGGAGGCGCCTCTCAGCCTCCCACAATCTCTGTTCCCCATCCACGGGAGACCACGGCAGAGCAGGGCCCAGCCCTATAAAAAATAGAAGGAATTTATTATTAGGGATTGTTTCATGGTAGAAAACAGGAGCTAAGTTCAAGAGGACTCGTGTAAGTCAACCCCAAATCTGAATGATATTAAATTCAAAGTCTCTCTAGGCTGCAACAATCAAATATGCATTGCCAATCTCACAAAATTCCACATTCTAATGAAGTTTAACCTGGTTTATATGTTGCTTATTTCTTCTTAGGTCTCAAGGGCTGTCTTAACTGTGTCATGAAAAGATTAAGGGGATGTTTCTTCAATGCTAGGGCCCTGAGTCAAAACAAGAAAGTTGTCAATTTTTCTAGAGCAATTCATAGAAAAGAGAACTACTTCTGCCCACTGGTTCAAGAATCAAAATGTTTATTATGCTATTCTGTATTTTAGTTCTCCCTTTTTTTGGCTGCACTTCTAGGCATACGAGATCTTATTTCCCAGATCAGAGATCAAACCCATGCCCTCTACAGTGGAAGAACGGAATCTACAGGACTGCCAGGACAGTCCCAGTAATAGTTCTTAATTTCATCACATAATCTATTATTTTAGGGTACATGGAGACTTTTTCTCAAAAATAAGCTCCTGGTTATTTCATATAGCTTTTCTTTCTTTTTGTTAACTTTCATTTTGAGATTAATTATAGATTCTAAAGTTTCAAAAACAGTACAGAGAGGTCCCCTGGACCCATTACCTAGATTCCCCAACAATAAGATATAATCATCGTCCGTTATCAAAACCAGGAAAGTGAGGACTTCTGGTGGTCCAGTGGCTAGGACACTTCCACGGCAAGAGGTATGGGTTCAATTCTCGGTCGGGGAGTTCCGGGCTACGGCCAAAAATAACCCCAGGAAGCTGACTACATTGTCACAACACACATAATACAGTATTTTATTTAGCAATAGTTACATCAAAGTAGACTTAGGTCCTACTTTTAAAAATTAACTTAGAAATTCGTTCTGTCATTCTGTTAGGCATTTTGTGAAAAGCTAATAAAGCTTTAAAAATATGTTACCTTGTAAAAATTTCTACATTTTGGTAATGGTAGTTGAGAAGATAGAACTGACTCATGTTCATTTTGATCTGCCAAGATTTTCTGCAAGATTAATTTTCATTAACTCGAGTAAAGATATTACTTCAAACTTTGAGGATTCATGAATGATTTTTCCTTTAAAGGCCTTGAGATAGACAGAGACTTAATGTTCCATATCTTTGAATCTGAACCTGAGACAAGCCAGGAGGCACACTGTGAATTCCTAAACCAGTCCTAGAGCTTGAGGAGTAGGTGTATGAATTCTTGTTCTTAAGAAAGTTTAGGTCAAACTAAAACACACTCAGAGACTTGTTTGCTTTGCAGACTAGGCCATTTGACAAATGTTCTGACCCTTCTCCTCTCCACATTCAAACCTTACACTTTTTAAGAGAAGTTTTGGAGTTTTATTTGGATAAAGTAGAGAAGTGAGAACAGGATAGAGGGTTCAAGTCCATTCAAAGTTGGCTGCCTCTCCTTTTATCAAGACTAAGTGAGGGGCTTCCCTGGTGGTCCAGTGGTTAAGATTCCGCCCGCCAATGCAGGAGACACGGGTTCGAGCCTCGGTCTGGGAAGATCCTACATGCTTCGGGGCAACTAAGCCTGAGCATAACTACTGAGCCCACATGCTCTAGGGCCTGTGCTCCATAATGAGAAGCCTCGAACCGCATCTAGAGAGTAGCCCCTGCTCACCTTAATTAGTGAAAGCCCTTGCGCAGCAGCGAAGACCCAAATAAATAAATGATATTTTTTTAAAAAGAGCTCAGGGAATGGGAAAAAAAAAGACTGAGTGAAATAATGTAACTCAAGCATGCGTAATGCAATCTAAGGGTGTGAATTTTCATGCTTGCTTTTCACTTGCATGTATCAAATTTCAAGATACTTCTTCCTCAGCCACCCAGATCTGTGACTAGAGCGTGTTTAAACAAGCACACCTAGGCTCTCACATGATATGCCCAGAACTTAGTGGCAGACCTACGTACACCGTGCATGTTTCCCCACGGCGTCAGAGCAGCCCTTGAGAGCCCTTTGTTCCTCAGCCCATGGCCACCTGGCAGGTGGGGCTGGTTGGGAAGGTTTTCCCTGCCTAGAAAGAGAGCTGCTGGCAGGCCACTAGGCTTACACGTGCCTCCCTTATGCCGTCGTCCTTCACCCACTGATCCCATAAGATGGCCAGGAACCCCAAGCGAGCCCACCTGTAGCAAGTCCTCTAAAACAGCATCCCTGATGGCAGATAAGCCTGCCCTTCCCCTTCCCACAACCAAAGCAGAAGCCAGCAAGGGGGGAACCAACTGGTTATAATCAAGGGACCAATCCCTGGGAATGTAGGAGCATTCATCATCTTGACTTCTTGCCCTGATGCAGGAAGGCAGCAGCTTCATTCCATGGCAATCACTTTGGATCCATGTCAAATAAACATCTTCATCACATGCTTCTGGTGTGCTTCTTCAAAGGTCGCAGTCATGAGGGATGAGCCCAGTGCCTCCTCTGGGAACTGTGTGACTTCTGTCCCCTCCCCTCTTGTGCAAGGCAGGATGAGTCCGTCTGTCTGGCCGAGCCCGGAACAGCCCCTAGCTTAGTGTGCAGGAAGCTTATTTTGCCTGTTTCCCTGGTCGTGTTGGAGTTCCTGAAGGTACTAGTGTCCTGTACACAATTTTCTGTCTATTGATAGTAACCAATCACAGTTCCTGGCTAAGCAGAAGCTGAGGCAGGATCCGAAGACACAGGGAGGCCTGGGAGACCAGCTCAGCGCACCCACAGCAGCCCAGATGCATGATAAGACTTGTCCATGCATCGTCCCGGCCCAGGAGCCTTTAATTACATGTCTGGGGCTCACAGGAGCCCAGGTGGCCCGGCTCACATGATCCCAGAACTGTGAAGAGATTGCG